ACACTACAATTCAAGGGTAGTACTGGAAGAGACTGGGCAGCATTTTCCACGACTGTGCCTGTGTGATGCACACTGTTGCACCGGCTCGGTGGGAGAGCACAGCGCATCCCCTGAGAGAGCTCAGGCAGAAGATGTTGCTCATGAAGAAGAAAAGGTGCTAAAGCATTCAAGCAGCAACTTCTGGGGTCACTGGCAAAGCAAACTTAAACACTAGTGGTGAGTTCATCTGAAAGAAAATTGTTTTATCAAACCAAACAGAGATAGAACATTTTGCTTTCTGCATGTCTATCCCAAACTAAAATACTTTGTTGTATTTTCCAAGTGGAAAATAGGAATGTTGAGAGAGCTTCTCCAAGTTTCTGGACAGAAAAAATATTTTAGTAGAAAGCTTTTTGCATTGTGTTTTCAGTTGAAACTCTATTTTAACAAGAAATTCCCTTTCCTCTGTAATCGGAACATTTCTTTCATAGCCCCAATCTAATATGTAGGTATTTTTAACATCAAATTATTATATTTATAGTCAGCTTTCATTCATTATTGACTGAAGCAAAATTTTAAGGATTGCATTTATGTAGCTGATTAAACCAGTAGTTCTGGGAAGCAAAGTGCCATTAACTAAAGTGGTGTTTTAAAAGGTTATGATGACAAAATCCTTAATCATTAAGGAGCACCCTAAGATTAGAATATGACTAAAAATATGTTTTCCTTCCTTGAACAATCTAAACAGTGACTGGTTGCAGTTTTTATGTATACCAATATTAGTCACTGATTTATTAATATGCATTTTATTTGATTCTACATCAATTTTATGGTTTTCTTTTTAACCAAAGGCAGGAGTTGTTTGCTGACTTCTTAATCCAAGCAGAAACAGTGGAGCTGCTTAGAGAAGCATATTAACAGTAATATATACTACAGCGTTTCAAGCCCAGAGGATCTGAAAGCAAGTATATTGCCAGTACCCTTCAAAGGGTTCAAAATATTCTGTGGACAGAAAATAGGGATGGGAAGTAATTGTGAAGAAAGTGAATTAACGTTAATCTTTATACCATGTCTGTAAGTCAGAGTGATAAATGCAATTTTCTTAATGGATTCCAAAGGATTTTAAGAAGTAAACAGGATTTCAGATAAGGAGTTGACTTCATAAATAAGTAGTTTTCTCTTGTGGAAAGAAATATTTGTTATCACAAAAGCTCATTTTTTATCAGTTTGGACAAGTGATGACACACTGTGGGATATCAAGCTTGTACTGTAGATGGTTTTTGTCTGCCCCAATTCATGCGTCACTTAATTATTAACTGGACCAAACACTGGAGGAAGCAGAGGAAATGATTTTGCCCTGTCTATGTTTTTCCATTCCTTCCGCAATTCTTTGTTGTGTGAATAGGCACCGTATCCTCACAGGCAGACAGTTGTAACGAAGCCGTGCTTTGTTTTAAGGTGACATTCCTGTTGTGCCGTAATGAGTTCAAAAGCTCTCCTCTGTGAAGATGTACAGCGGAGCAACAGGAGAGGGGAAGCTGTCACATATGTCCATGTTCAGTTGCTGTGGGAGCTTGTAGAAAGCAAGAGTCAGATAAATTTAATTGGACAAGCAGACAACACATTCCCTCCAGTTGCTGCTGCTTTGGCTCTGAAAACCCCTAAACACTGTCCCCAGAGGGACCAACCCGCCCGGTTGCTTTAGTTCCATTTCCTACAGCAGACTTTATGTGCACTGTCACTTGTTCCTGATGTTCTTGACTGGTCTGAATACGATAATGAGCTTCCAGGCAGATTTCATATTTTCCTGATTGCATTCTCACTGCACTTTATTTTCTGACTGGTTTTTTTTGTTGTGTCTTTTCGTGTAGAAAGAAGAAAGGATGGGGTCGTTACTTGAGTTCCTCCTGCTCTTTGACTTATTAGTACCCAAAGTCAGTGGGTGGCTGTGTGGTGCAGCCTTTTGGCGATCACCTCCGCTACCTGCGTCAATGTTAAGGATGAACCTCATTTCTGAATGCTGAGAAATTAGAGTCTGTAACTTCAGTGTTTGTTTTAAGGAAGGGATTTTAGCAAAATAGGCTTAGTTAATATGTGCATTACTTGGTTTCTTCATGTTCTCAGTGGTGAACGTACCTGGCAGCACCTTTCAGTTAGCCATGAGTAAAGTGCAGTGGAAGCTTTAGCATCTCAGAGGAAGTTGAGAGACTGATTTGTGTTCTTGGCATAAAGGAAACCCAACTGAAAAACCCCTCCTGAAGTGATACAACTTGTGTTAGAGCTGGCAGGTCCCGAGTGTCTCTGCTGTGCTGTGCGATGAGTACCAGCCCTGCATCCTCAACCTTCCTCACCACATCCAGTCTGATGTAGATTTTCTTTATATCTCGGCTTTGATGGGATCAGCGCAGGCACTGATGGAGAGGCTGTGTCCGTGGAAGTTGCCTGATGATTCATTGTGAGTTTTACTTTGGAGAATCTCTGCAGGAGTCTGGGCCTTTGCATCCCACCCCTGCGTGGTGCCTGTCCCGTGGAAATGGAGCACAGGATGGTGCATGGTGAGTGGGTGGTTCTGCTCTTCTCTGTGCTCTTGGTTGGTAGATAAATTGAAGGTTTTAATCAGCATTAAGAGCAGTTTCCCAATTCCAACTTGTTCTTACTAGTTATCACTTGAGTGTTGACAGCTCGCTCTGGCTGTTCAAAGCACAGGTCCCCATGTCAAGGACTTGCATTATGAAGTGAGAAATGTCTCGTAAGAACAAACGCATTTGGTGATCTGTACTGAGGCAGTACTCGGGGAGCTCAGACATGCACGTACACATCCCTAAGCTGTCTTGTTTTCCTGAGCCTGTGCGCTAAAGAGGAGGTTCGTTTTCATAGCCCAGCTTGGTTTAGCAGAGCTAGAGCTGGAGAACTGCAGAGCAAGGCACCCCATCCATCCCAGAGGACACACAGGACATCCTGGAACACCCATTCCAGGCAGCTCCATCTCTGTGCTGATCTCTGCAGACTGCAGAGAGCTGCAAATGCGAAGCACATGGCTTTCCATGGGAAATCCTTGTGTGGGGTGGCAGGTCTGGGCAGAGAAGACTTTGCATGTCTTCATGTCTTGCATAATTCATTCTAAACCTAAGTCAGTCTGCTGATGGGTGATAGCATTTGAATATTTTATAATGTTGAACCAAAAAGAATGACAGGTTACTGCCTGCTATGATGAGGCTGCTGTCTCCTGTGCCAGGGGTCGGTGGGGCAGCTTGGGGAGTGCTCTCCCCTAACCAGAAGCTTGCTCTCCCTTTGTGGGATTTTGGTGAGTGGGGCTCTAAGCTTTGTCCTCAGTACCTTCCGTATCATTTGCATTTAGAACTCTGATATTTGTCACCCATTCTTCTGCTGTGGTGTAAATGGGGCACTCAGCTGGTGGGAAATTGGTCCAGAATGTGCCTCTCAGGAACACAGGATGTAGATTTTTAGTTTTGGTGATTAGCTGTGCTCAGTCTGATTTCTGGATTAAATTAGATCCCTTCACATCTGCCTGGTTGCCCTCATCGCATCTGCAGTGAGCATTTGAGTAGGTTTTTGCCTCCTTAGCAGAACCGGGCAGCAGCACCTTCCATAAAGAACCGATCCCCAGCTGAGCTCAGAGATGCAAAGCCTTTCCGACAGCTCCCACTGTGCTACATGAGCCCATCTGAACGCTGCCTCCCCCGGGGTCTGTGCGTGGCGACAGACCCTGACAGTCCCAGTCAGCACATGCTCGTGTGAAAGTCGCTTTCTTCTATTGTCAGGGGAACCCAGAAAGTACGTAAGGAAAATGCATCCGCTTCTCTAGTTCCAGAGCCTCGTGGCCTGCATGTTAAGTGCCGGAGGTCAGTGAGCCCAACACGGCCCCTCTGACTGCAGAGGTCAGATTAATGTCTGGCAAATGGAGACATCTGAGCAGGATAGTGGAAGGAAAATGATTTTCCTCTCTTTGTTAGAAGTTTCATTAAGGAAGAAAATGGGTGCTGACCTCCACCAGGCTAAATCCGGAACTCTGCGCTGGAAGCCAGTGGGTCTACTTTGATTTTATGCTAAAACAGAGTTTGACTTGTAATCTCTAGGAGGAAAGACAGCAAAGGCTTCCCTTCCTGCATTCGCTGGGTAGGTGACTTATTCACATGTGGTGGTCAGAAACCAAGCACTGGGCTGAAAAACCAAAGCATTAGGGCAATGCCAGTGGAGGTATCCTCATTAGAGCAGACCACACAGAAAAGAGCAGGTCTCTCCAGGGGAAAAAAGGTGCATCACATCTGCATCTACGTGTGACTCCCCCAGTCCCTGGGGTCTTTTCATGGTACACAGAACAGGTTTCCTTTCTTATTTGTACTTTTCCAGACTCTGGCGATGCGTGGGCTGGATGGTCTATCTTCACCTCGGGAGGATGACGTGGGTTTACGGCAACGTCTCTCCTGTGTCATTAGCCAAAAGGGCTGTGCAGCCTGAGAAGTGACCCCTCTGACTGGCTGTAAGGGGAGGGGACCGGTGGCAGGGTGCACAGGCTTGGATCCTCAGGGGCAGATGTCCTTTCTCCTCATCCCTGCTGCCAATCTAACTTCTCACCACCGATTGCTCATCCAGACATTTCTAGGTGGGGAGAAAGGTGCTGTTAATTGGGGGGGAGCCTTGCAGGCTGTTTGACAGCTCTGGTTGTGCCATGTCATTTTTGTGAGACTTTAACTCTTCAGACCATACCTGAGGCTTCCAAGGGGGATGGCCACGTTTTAGAAATCAAGACAAGTCCCTTGCAGAGGGCCTGTTTCATGGTGCCTAACGCGTGTGGGGGCAAACTAACAGTAATGATCCTGCTGGCTTTCCCTGCTCATGTTCTCTGCCAGCCATTCTCTCTCCATTCCTATAATTGCTTTGGCTCAACCCTCTAATCCTCCGTCTCAGCTGAAAATTTGCTCTATTTTTTTCTTGGTTTTGTTTTTTAGGGAATTTGTGCAAATTTGGATACTAACTTTTCACCTTCCTCCCCTCCTTAGCAAGCAGCAGAACTCCTCCAAATCCAAGTCTGTTTGGGAGCAGAGGACCAGCCAGATCCGGATGCATAATTTCCGAGCCAGCTGTGAGGCACTGTACAACGAGCTGGATCCAGAGGAGCGGGTGCGTTATGCTACCACCCTTCACATTCGGCCAGACATGAAGACTCACTTGGATCGGCCACTGGTGGTAGAGCCGAGGAGCGAAGGGAGGAACAACATCAGTAAGCTGAGCCCTGTGGACGTGCAGGAGGTGGAACAGACCAAAGTCAGCTCTACTGATGGGGCAGAAGCTCCACGAAAGCACCACCGGCATCGGGATAAGGACAAACTGGGAGAGCAAGAGAAGGGTGATGTGACCAAGGACGAGAATGGGGAAACTGGCACCAACAATAAGGAGGAGCGGCACAGGCAGCACAGGAGCCGTAGCAAAGAGGTGGAAGGGGGGAGTAAGGAAGGAAAAAGTGATCGCAACAGGACTCAGGAAGGGGGAAAGAGGCACCATCGACGAGGGTCAGTGGAAGAAGGTGCCGAGAAGGAGCACCGTAGGCATCGGACTCACCGGCACTCTGCCGAACGGCAAGGCAAGGAAGGCAATGGGACAGTCAATGGGGCCAGAAGTGAGCGACGTTCCCGACACCGGGGAGGGTCGAGGTCTGGGAACCGGGAAGGAGAGCCCGGGTCCAAGGGTGAGAATGGAGAAGAGCCTCACAGACGGCATAGGTTCAGGAACAAGGCGCTGTCGACCTATGATTCGGTGGAGAAGGAGAATGGGGAGAAGGAGGGGGAGGCTGGCGAGAAGGAGCACCGGAATCATCAGCCCAAGTAAGTGAACGCTGCACGGGCAGACTCATCCCTGGGACAGCTCGGGGGACACGAGGCCCCAGGCACCTTTCAGAAAATTACTTATTCCCTGCTGTTCTTCCTGCATTCACACCAGCTGCCATAACCTGCAGTTCCGTTTTGCTTAGATCAGCAATGACAAAGGCTTCTAAAGATGATTTTGGCCCATGATGGCCCATAGAACAGCTCAGGTGTAAGGAAGGAAATATCCTTGATGTAAATACCAACAGACTCTCTAGGACATAACATTGAGTGGAGAATTTCACAGCCTCTGAAGGAAGTTTCTGAGGGAACTATTTTTAAATGGTATCCAGTCTTGCTTATAGCCCTTTGGTTTTCTTTTTTTATGGTGAGCCTGTCAGCTGCATCACCAGTTGTTACAGCACGTGGCTTCTTCCATTAAGAACAATGATGTACCCCATTTGCTTTAATTCTTATATAAGTCAAGTGAGAAAAATAGTACTTGTGAAGCATTTGGAGTAGTTAATAAAGAAGGATAGATTGCCTTTTCAGCTTTATTAGTCTGATGGAAAAGAAATTTCACTGGGATTCTTTAGAATGGAGTTCATGTCACCGTGGAGAGCTGTGAGTGGCACTGAGATAATAATTTTCCTGTCTATATTATCTTCCTTTCAGATAGATTTCAAAACACTTTGCATGCTGTTTAGTATGATCATGTGCACGAGCTCACTTTCCTCCTCACTGAAATGTAGCCACTGCTGCAGAGGCATGCAGAAGCTATTTAGCCACTTACAGCAATATTACAGAGTGGTTTGGGACTGGAAAAAAAATCACCACATTTAAATAATCCCTCAGGAGCATATTAAGAAGCAGAATGTCAGACTTCGTTCAGAAACCAGCTGATGCTGGGAAGCTGATGTCACTGTTACATGCAAGTGCCATGTGGTCCTTGCTTACGAACCTCAGTTCCGAGTCTTGTTAAATTGAATAGCAATGTTCGGAGGCACAATTCCTCTTCGTGTTGTGCTTGGATGTTGGTTGGTTGATTAGTAGGTTGTCCTTCAGTCTATGACTTTTCTGCAAAGGTCTTCCATGGAGAAACGAGTCCATGAAACGTAGCAAGAGATGCAGCATCAGAGTACATATGTTCTCTGCATCCTTCTCGTGATACATTTGATAAAATCTGCTCTTCTGTCTTAGGGAGAATCAGTGTGAGATTGAGGCCAGTGGAAGCATGAGCGTCCCTGTGCACACCCTGCCCAGCACCTATCTGCAGAAAGTGCTGGAGCAGCCAGAAGACGCTGACAACCAGAAGAATGTGACACGGATGATTCAGCCACCTCTGGACAAAACCACCACTGTGAACATCCCTGTCACCATCACTGCCCCGCCGGGGGAAACCACTGTCATCCCAAGTGAGTGCCTTTGTCCCCTTGCTTTTTGCTGTGAAATTGCTAGAAACCAGCTAACTTTCCAAGTACACGTTGAGTGATGGGGGCTCTCCTGGCCACCTACATCCTTGCAGTAGGTGGACGAGAGAACTTGTTGTTGATAAAGGCTCTACAGTTCGTGCAGCCTGCAGGAACCCAAAATGTGAGGGTCAGCTGGTGGCTCTGGAAAACAAAGTTCCCTGGAGATGGGTCACGCAGAGCACATCCATGTCTTAGTGTAAGGGAAAGACACAAAGAGCAAGAAAAACAACAAGTTTTTGTAATAACACGTTTATAGTAACAAAACTGTGCAGCAAAATAAGCCGTTTCTGCAGCAAACTAGTCAAGACTGTTGTGAGCCACAGGAGTTCATCCTCTGATCATCACCTTCCTCTGCTGCCATGCTGCTGACTCCCACCCTGACAGTGCTGTGTGACAGTTTGCTTGGTGTCCCAGGGGCCTGACTGGCCACAGAACCCACAGCAAGGGGCAGGGTAGGCAGTGGCATTGCATTTGAGCCCATCATCTGAATTCACTCTTCTTGGCTTATTAGCTGACCCCACTGTGGAACAGCGGGTCTTCCACGGGCACTCAGCTATCACACCATCCATCATCTGACTCCGCTGCTTCAGGTTCCTGCGGGCCGTGTCATTTTAAAGCTTTTTGCAGTCTGCTGTGTCTCAGTTTCAGCAGATCCCCCCTAGCTTGCCCTCTTCCAGAGCTCTGTCCCTTGGGTCGATCAGTATAGATCCGCACGGTTTTGCAGCCAGTCACAGGTCACTGTGCCCAGCTCTGCTCTGCAGCCACCTGGCCACCAGCCTGTGGCTCATCCCTGGCAGTGGAGGAGACCTGAGAGCTGGGGGTGCCGAGGAGAGGCGCAGTATGAAATCCAAGAGGTCCACGTTAGGACACAGGACTCTGCTTTCCAAGAGGGACAGCCAAAAGCTAGCGGTTTCTCTACAAGTTTTGTGTGGCTGACAACACGGTGAAAAGACTTGTCTTTTTTTGTCCCCTTTTTTTTAAATGGTAATTTATATATGTATTGCAATTCCGAGTTCCTGTCAATCACGATTTATCAGCCTCTCTCTTTCCTGGCCGTTTCCTGTGTATCTGGCTTGAGATACAGTAAGGACTTTATTGGACATGTCACTCACACACAATGAAATGTCATTTTGTCACAAAATAAAATAAGAAGTAATAAAAAACCTGCACCTAACACATTATAAGTGGGTGACGTTTGGGATTCTAGGTGCTGTGAATTAATAGGCAAGTGTATATATCTGTCTAAGAAGAGAATTTGCAGCATAAAATGTTTTCCAGTTCATATATTGGTAATCATCTTAAGTAAATGATCCTATAAACACACTCCAAGTAAACTTATGATTGAAAATAGGGAATGTATTTCTAACCTTTGGGAATTAGGTTCAGAACAATCTTCTAGAATGAGATCTGTGTGGGTTCCAAGAAGTCCCTTCCAAGTGTCTGTTCCTGATTTTGGGAAGTTCAGGAGTTTCAGCCCGAAAATTATTAAAGCTCATCTATGAATTTGCTCTTTAACATGTTCCAAAGCCAATTGTGCTACTGATCTATGGGAGAAGGTACAGAATTTTGCGGTTGGTTAGAATTACTGTGTTTTTTTCTTTCCAAGGATCCCTAGCTGATCCTCTCTCCCTAATAATTTATGATATTTGGAATGGGATTTCCATCCCCAGTTTGGCAGCTAATGTAAGTTTTCTTTGTCTGCACTGGGCATTTTCATTTCCTGGGATTTCTGATATACTGCTCATCAGTGCAGCAGTTAAGGAGTATAATTGCAGTGTGTATCATACTGTAGTAAATAGCGGTGATAATAATCAAATGATTGTTCATCACATTTAATCAACATATTCAGAGGCTGTTTGCTATCCCAGCTGCATTGTTTGCATATCCAGCTGTTGCAGGCAGCCTGCTGTGTGAAGACTGCAGATACATTTTTTTAACTCTCTCATTTCTTTTTCTTCAAATTTACATTTCAGTGAACAACGTTGAATTTGAAAGTAAAACAGAGGAGAAGAAAGACGTCGATGACTTGACGAAAAACGGGCCTAAACCGATCTTGCCTTACAGTTCCATGTTTATCTTAAGTCCTACAAATCCGTAAGTCCTCTGACTCTTTAATGTCACTTGTGGGTTACAGATACTTCAGGCATGGGTAGTCAAAGCAATAACATTACCGTGATCTTCATCTGCCTGTCAAACACATTGGAAAATGTAATTAAAGTTTACGTAGGCTGCAGACAAAATTATGCCTTTAAGTTGGGCTTTCCTAGGGGAATAAATTGCCAGAATAGGGAAAAGATGATGCTTTAGGCCAACCCTTCCTAACTGCCCTGCTGACGGTCAGGTGGGCAGTTGTTTGCTCAGGTGTAGGTCACTGAAGGGTGGGAGTATGGAGTGTCACTGGGAGAAGACGACATTACCAGGAGAAGCAGGCTGGGGGTGGTATTGATGTCAGCAAAATGTTGTGGGTTCCTCAGCTGGAATTTGCGCCCTTTCCATACTAGTACCCTGACATCACTGAAAACTTTGAACTTCTGAGAAAATTTGGATATTTTTCGTTTGCCAAGGCTGAGAGTACAGCTTGTGAGATCTGTTGGGATTACAGCATTTCTTCCGCTTGAGGCACCTCTGCCTCATGGGGAGCTTTGTACTCAAAGCCTGTAAATACTGAATGTGTCACTCTGAAGGGCTGTAGGACTAGACAAGAGCAGCAGGGGCTGTAATAATTGTAGCATGAAGGCCTGTGAGTCATTTTAAGCAGTAACTTAGGGCAATGGAGGGCATTTGAAACTTCTGCCAACCCGGAGATCTGCTAAGAGCAGAAGTGATTGTTTCTCTCTGGCTGAGGTAGACTTGTTGCAGATCCCGTTGTTCTCTGAGGCTGTACTGTGCATGCCCAGATACCTGAGGTGGACTCAGGCTCTTCCTTTGGCAACTCAATTCCAGAGAAGAATGAGTGCTCCTACACCTCCTGAGACTTGCGACTGGGACAGTCGGAGGAACAAAACAGGCTGCTCTGTGTACTCATCTTTGACACCAGAAATGCGTCTGTGGTGGAAGCCACAGCTGGGCCCCCCTGGGCAGTCGGCAGGCTGACTGTTTCTTTAATCACAAGTGCCAGCTGCATGGTTCAGGCTACAGCCCTGTGTGCTCCAAGATGATACAACTATGAGCACGGAAGGCGTTCATCAACAGGAGTTAGAGACTATCTCTAAATGCCAGCTGTCAGAGAGGGAGAATGACCATGAACTACTGCTAATCTAATCTAATCTCATCTCTAAAGAGGGTGCACTGAAGACTCAATACGTGCCCCTTCTCTCTCAGACTCACAAGACAGAGACTTGTGTTTCCCTTTTGCCTTCTCCAACCACCTGCCAGGTAGACCTTCAGGAACTTCAGGATAACTTTTCAGAACACTGATAACATTGTGTTATTTCAAATCAGGCAACATATCCTTTGAACTCATGTAAAAGGCAGCTAAAGGGAGGGGAGAGTGTTAGATGAGGTGCACTCATAGTGTAATTTTACTTTCTGGGGCAAATCTGAATTATGGAGCCTGGGCCCTGTCTGGTTGGGCAAGGAAAAAGTATTTCCCTAATATTTGGTAACTCAGATGATTTTTTTTTTTTTTTTTGGTGAAATGACCACCAAAAATGAGTGGTAACTGTGAAATGCTCAAGGCAGCAGTGTAGAGTGGGAAGCTAGATGGTCCCAAGCCCAAAAGAGTCTGAACCGAGGAGTGGACTGGGCAGAGAAACAGCAAGAATTTTTTTTTTTTTTCATACACATGCTGTTTTCTCTCAGCTCATCCTACAGTTATGACCTTCTGAGCCTCATAGTCCAGGATTTGGTATGTTCTTTTAGTCATCTTGCAGTTGTCTTCAGCACACACACACACACACACCCTTCCTCTCCCAGAAGCTGTACTAAAAGACCATTGAAAAACAAAGTTCATTGGGAGAGAGGTGTTACAACACAGAGCCAAGGGGAAATAACAAGAGGAAGACCAAACTCTAGGAATGTCAGCAACTTGGTTTGCTTCCTCTGGGCAAGATACAGGCCCAGCTGGATCCCCTCAGGTGTTTTGGCTGGTGCTAACTTCTCGAGAGAGGTCTTTCTGCTTTCTGGGGTATGAAGTTTTTCACCATGTCTATTGCTAACTACCTCCCTTCCAAGCCCTGCCAGGCGTGACCCGGGTGCTGCTAGTGGGCAAAACAGTTCTGAGAAGCATAAATGAAATTTGTTGCTTTCCAAGTGCCACCCACCCTCTTAGGACAGGCATGAATTTAAACAGCACCACTGGCAGTTTGCACATGCTCTCGCATCTCACTGCTGGTTTTGAAGGAGGAAGATTTAAAACCAGGGACTTGTTATTTCTTTGATGAACTGCACTTGATGCATGAGTTACAGGTACAAATGTAATTGAAAATGTTGCCTTTCACTTCTGTGGATTCATAGAGCACAAAGATGATAGTCCACTTCTGTCAGATTTATAACCAGAGATAAGAGATCCACAAAAGCACTTTTCTTCATGTTATTTCATATCAAATCTGTTTCCTTGGTGTTTTTAATTCTTTTTCATTCTGATGCCATTAGCAATCCAGAGAAAAGGAATATATAAGTAGATGTGAAAAATAAATTTTAATTCTGACTATTCAGCTATTTGTTTAGAGAAAATGTGGTATAGTAACTGAATTGCATTCTCAGATAACAAGGTTGTTGACAAGTTACACACATAATTTGATTTTGAAGCAGCACTTAAGTCCTTTATTCAGCTGACAAATATGGTGCAAATGTAGAGTTCTCTGTGAAGTTAAGTGTTTGGGAATTGTGGTCAGATAGAGTTATTAGATGAAATTTGTGAATAGTTTTTCATTGCTTAGAAATTGAAGCATTTGTCACTTTTCTTGGACAAATTTAAAGCTACTGATCCTGTTTTTTTATTTTCTTACCATTGTGGTAAGAATCATAAAGGTGGTAGTCCTGATGAACTTGTCCTGCCAGTCTTTCATACCACTGCACTTGACTTGAAGCACCTGCAGTAGCCCACCTATGTGCTTCTCTTTGTAGGATTCGGCGTCTGTTCCACTACATTGTCAACCTGCGCTATTTTGAGATGGTCATCCTCATAGTTATAGCCCTCAGCAGCATTGCCCTGGCTGCAGAAGACCCTGTCCAAGCTGAGTCACCGAGGAATGATGTGAGTGCCAACCAACACGAACAGAATAAAGTTGTTTTGCTTCTCCCAGCAGTTATGCACATGGCATGTCCATTCCCATCTCCAAAGGATAACACGGTGCACGCGCAAGTGCAAAACTGGAGCTTTCTTTAATAACATACTCAAAGTAGTTTGTTCCATTATCAAAATGCTCGCAATTCCTGTCCTTTTCTGTTGCTTCACCCACATCTGATTCCGAGAACCTGGAAATCCCTTGTGGTTTGGCTGCATGACTTACGTGGAAGGAGCCTGAAAAGCGATGGGAAAGGCTTCCCCAGTCACAACCCAGGGCTGACATTGTCCTGAGATCCCCTGCTCCTGCTCGAGCAGAGCCTGAGGAAGTAAAACCAGATATGGCTTGTTATCTTAGAATCACAGAATCACAGACTGGTTTGGGTTGGAAGGGACCTTAAAGATCATCCAGTCCCAACCCCCCTGCCATGGGCAGGGACACCTTGCACTAGATCAGGTTGCTCAAAGCCACATCCAGCCTGGCCTTGAACACTTCCAGGGTTGGGGCATCCACAACATCTGTGGGCAACCTGTTCCAGTGCCTCACCACCCTCTTCATGAAGAATTTCTTCCTGATATCTAATCTAAACCTCCCCACTTTCAATTTGTACCTGTTACCCCTTGTCCTGTCACTACAGGCCCTTGTAAAAAGTCCCCTCCCAGCACCTTTGTAGGCCCCCTTCAGATACTGGAAAGCTGCAATGAGGTCTCCTCGGAACCTCCTCTTCTCCAGGCTGAACACGCCCAATTCTTGCAGCCTTTCATCATAGGAGAGGTGCTCCAGCCCTCCGATCATCCTCGTGGCCTCCTCTGGACTCGCTCCAAGTGGTCAATATCGTGATATCCTAATATTCTGATATTGGGGGTTCCACAGCTGGACGCAGCACTCCAGGTGGGGTCTCACCAGAGCAGAGTACAGGGGCAGAATCCCCTCCCTCGACCTGCTGGCCACACTTCTCTGGATACAGCCCAGGATACGGTTGGCCTTCTTGGTGGGGTATGGTAGCCGTCTCCTAGAATTAGTCAAAAATCTAGTTATCCATGGATGTCAAACCAAACTGGGAGGCTTTGGGTGCTGTTGTGAGCAGTAGTTGGAGTGGGCCACCTGAGAGCATGCATTCACTCAGCAGACAGCTGGGTGTCTGCTTTCAAGCACACTCACATGAGGACATTGGCACAGAGCTGGTTGCACCCTCTTAAATGGGCAACTGGGAGTCTGCAGAACTGAAGATTAAGTATAGACATTGTGAGATGCAGTTTTCTAATTTTGGACTTTTCAGTGTAGATAGTTGCAGTATGCAGAAAACGTGGTATTTATATAGACTTAATATCCCTTCACTGTGTATAATCCTATGAACCTGACTGTGAATAGGTGCTTCCCATCCACAGAATTATGTTAAAATTTAGGACATCTATAGATATTTGAATGGACTGGTATTGCATTTACCAGGATGTGTGCGGAGGGGGCTGAGTTCATCCACCCCTTAAACAGATTAAGGAACTGAATAGCTTCAGAGCACAAGTCGGCAGACCAGGTAGAGCAGGAACTGCCTAGTCTGACATCCTGCTTCTGAATCTGGTCAGTAATAGCTCTTTCCAGGGGAGAATCCATGAATCCTTATATCAGTAATGAGCTGAAGTAGCTACGAGCAATCTCTCTTACCCATGCTTAGTAATAACGGTGCAATCAGTTTTACAAAAAGGATTTTATCATTCTCCTGCTCTCCTGAGGTCTTTAATAATAATGTCGTCAGCTACAGCAGAAGAGAAACCGAGGCGGCTACACAGATGCTGGCAAATAAGCTCTTTAGGAAAGGATACTCAAATATTTCAATTTGAAATATCCATTTTGCCTTGTTAAACCTGCCATCTACGCAGGTGCGCGGAACCAACCCATGGACATGCATACGGTAGCCTGGCAAGGGCTGGAAAAAAACGCTGCTGCTGAAATCAGATGATTTGAGTTTGTGCCTAAACTATTTGAAAGCCTCTCACGAGATGACATTTACCCATTGTAGCAAACAGACCATTGCTAGAATAGACTTTTTACTCCGTGCTCATGTCCGGGTTATTTCAGTGTGCAATCTCCTCTAATACGCATTTCTCTTTCCCATTTAGGCTCTGAAATACTTGGATTATATATTTACGGGTGTCTTTACCTTCGAGATGGTGATCAAGGTAAGATTTTTTTTCCAAGCAGAAAGGTTCACCTCCCCTTTCAGATTTACTCCCATCTACTCCTGGGAAGCTGGCAGAAAGAGGGTGGAGCATGACAGATCTCCCTGGGGCGCCTGGAGAGGTGGTGATGATGGAAAGCTCTAGCTCATGAGCAGCACTCAGAAGTAGCCAGTGCACAGTAGATGCCTCTCTAGCAACTCTCCTGGTTTCTTTAATCTCACATTTTATGGTAGAAAATAAGGATATCTTTAGTTTCTTTAGGGTAAGAAATGTGGGGGCCTGATGCAGAAATGTCTGTGTGTGACTAAGGACACAGGAGCTGATAGACCTTACTGAGTCACGTGTGATTCTTCTCTTTTCCTTTGGCGCTGATCAGGAGTATTAATAACAACTGATTCTTGGTCTGTCATGTTTCAGTAAGTTGAGGATTTATCTTTTTACTTTACTCAGTAGGGTGATAGGTTTTGCTAAGACTGTTGGGCAGTAACTTTCTAGAAAGCGCAATGCTAATAAAGTCCGGATTTATTCTTGGGGTAATAACGGAGTTAATTTTTACTGTTGGAGCAAGATGCAAAAGAGATGCAGAAAGCAAAACAAATTTTCCCTTGCTTGTTTAATAGAAGGATTTGAAGCTCTGCGAGGAAAGTAGCCTTACGCAAGCTCTCGGAAGCTCTCATAAAAGCAGATATAATGTCTGGCATGCCCTTTAAAACACAACTCTAGAAGCTCTTTAGCAGCACACAAGTCTTGTGCAGAAGCAAGCCAGGCTGCTGTGCTGAGCAGCATCTTTTAGCAAGTGCTCCGAGCAAGCGTGTTTCTCCGACTGCTGCATTTTGCTGTGGGTCTTCCCATCCTCTGTGTTTTACCGTGTAACATCCTACGTCAGTTGTTAATTCCTACTAATCTGGTAGGTTTGGGTTAGAATAAAGTTAAACTATGTGGACGTGTCACACACAGACTGCTGCGCGTAATTATTGTATGTCTGTGCAAACACTCCCATGTAGCAGTTAGTACTCTGTCTGTCGTGCTTTTGGTTATGGTTTATTGACTTCAGCTTTGATTTTTGAGAGTTTTTCAGAGGCACACAACTTTGACTAAGTATCTAGGTGTTTCCCTGCTGCTGTGAAGCCTTGAAGAAGAGTTTGTGAAGGGTGTTTTGATCAGAGATGTTTCTTTGAACCTTGGTACAGTTGATTCAGTATTTATTTTCTTAAAACTCTTTATTTTGATGTGTTTCCTCTGAAGATGATTGACTTGGGGTTGTTACTCCACCCTGGTTCCTATTTCCGTGACCTGTGGAATATCCTGGACTTCATTGTGGTCAGCGGGGCCTTGGTGGCATTTGCCTTCTCGTAAGTACATTTTCCTTAACATCCCAATTTCTGAGAAATAAATTGCAGTGGAGGCAGGACGCTGGCACAGAGCTAGTTGAAGCGTAGTGTTTGTGGACAGATTTCTCAGTGACATGTTCAGTTTCTGCCCTTTAACATCTTGTAGCTCTGAGGAAGAAAAAAACCCAAAAAATCCCTATATTTGTGTGATAGAATCTCTTGAAAATTCTCCCGGTATTAGGGTGAGTTCATTCACTGTTTAAACACTGAACCAAGATTTTTGTGAACCTCTGGCCAACTTTTTTCAAGAACACACTATAACAGTTTGTGGCAGTCCTGTGTCTTCAGGCAATTGTTTTAAAAATTGTCTTTACTATGAAAATGTAGCTAATGAAATCAGCTGATAACTCAGGGAACTCTTTACAACACATTATTTCTACTGTCATGGGTATTTCTTGTCCATATACCTTTGGTATTTCTATCTCCTCCTTCTCTCTTGTTCAGGGTACTTGCATTTCCAGAGTTTCACTTCTAAGGCTAATTACTCCTCCCCCTCGATCACAGCTCTCTATTTACAACATTAAATAATGTTCCATGTGCTTCCTTAACATCATGGAGGACACAGAGGAATTGCTTTTTAAAAATGAAGATTAACTTTTAGTTTGAGCATTTTTCTCATGAGAGACCAGAGGAGGAAGAGCAATGCAGGTTCTTCAGTACTTGAGCAACTCAAAGTTGGATGGTAGAAAGAAACTTTCCAAGTGTAGTTCTGGGCCATGGAATAATTGTCTTGCAAATGTTTTCCTGACACATTCTAGGAGATGACCCGGAAACCAGCTACAGGACTTGGCCAGCTTAATATTCTGCTAAATTAGCCTTGAGTAATTACAGTGAACATTTAGCAGCCCAAGCTCAACCTCCACTCACCTCTTTGTTGACATGATGATTAGAGAAGGCAAAGAAATTAGCAATGTTTTACTTGCTAATGAGAAAAAGCATTCACCTTTGTCAAGGAACTGCAGAAGCATGTCTTGTGTATTTTAGACTGATGGTACCTTTTAGGCGGACAGCCATCGCTGTTGATGCTCTGAAGTGCACTGCTGATGAAAAATGCTGCCGTGTCCCACGTGGTATAAAAAGTTACTGGGACCTTTCTGGTGTGTTTCTAAGGAGTTTTGAATTTTCTGAGGTGTCAAAATTCCGTTCACATTAGGGTTGAGAGATGTGTATTTTAGATCTTCTATTCTTTGTAGCAAATGCTGATAAAAATGGTCTGTGCTGATTTGACCATGGAGTGGATGGACAGGAGATGGGATTGACACTGTTGTTATGGTTCGTGAGTCAGTTGAGGAGTTACACTTGGGGATACTGGGCTCTCGGCTTTCTGTGCCCAATCACACACCGAAGAATTTTTTAGATCTCTGAGCAAGTCATGTCCAACATAAGCTTTTCAAGGGGATGCTGCTCTCCCCTCTCTGTTCATTAGAGACTTGTTTTGCAGAGGAGCTGAGAGCTCTGTTGTAGACAAGGCCATTTTGAGTTGGAATTGCTGATCTGATGAATGTCTTTCTTACCTAAAATTTGACATCCAAAACCAGGCTGCTTTTTAAGCTTGACTAGACATGTGTGTCTTAGTTTCCCTGCACATGTTATGTATTAACATAACGTCTTTCAGAACTGGATGTGGTCAGACCGAGTTAAGCAAAAGCTTACTTAAAGTTTAACAAGTTAACATTGTTCCTCTGAGTTGGAGAGATATAAAAGTAAAATAATATTAGCCACAAGCAGGAGTTTGCAAAACAATATTACCAAGTCTGTGGTTCACTGAGAATTTCTCTTTTCCATCAAGAATTCCAACTGTAAAGGCAGACTGGGGGAAGGGGCATTTTGTGAGCCCTTCAGAGCAACTCCATGTGCTGTGAGAACAAACGTCAGAGTTTGCCTTTAAAAAATATTCTCTGTGAACAAGATTTTCTTTTGGACAAGACATTGGATTAAAATGAATAATTTTTAATCCTTCTGAGTCTTTTTGCGCTCAGGGTTTCTATTGCTCGCACTGGGCCATGAATATCTAACAGTACCTCATCCGCCTCTAAATAAATTACTTGGCCATCCCCTGACTGTGCTTCATAATAGTGTGCCCCAAGCTGCTTCTATTTTACATGCTCTTTGAGTAAGAATTGAGCAGGGATTTACAGAAAGTGAATACATAAAACCTGCCTGCATATTTACTGTCTCCCAGATTAAAGCGAGTTAAACCTATTTCTGCAACTTGGAAAAATTTGAATTTATTCTGTGATTTTTATTATGACTGCAACCTCTGCTACATGCCCGTGTTTCAGCAGACAGTGAGCGTTGATGGCCAACTCAGGGAATACTTGCAGTATCTCTGGTCTAATCTGAGAGCAGGAGATCCAGTCTTTTGTAGGGGAAGGCTCGCTCTCTGTTTCAACTCACCTGGGATTCTGTGATTTTTATTATGACTGCAACCTCTGCTACATGTCCGTGTTTCAGCAGACAGTGAGCGTGAGTGTTGATGGCCAACTCAGGGAATACTTGCAGTATCTCTGGTCTAATCTGAGAGCAGGAGATCCAGTCTTTTGTAGGGGAAGGCTCGCTCTCTGTTCCCACTAGCCTGGTTATGAATACCAACAAGTCCCAGACTGTGCAGATGAAAACTGGGGAGATAGTCATGTCCTTGGCTCAACTGCGTTGTTTGGTTAACCCAGACAGGCGCACTGAGCCTACTGAATCTTGATAATCCTGAAAAAAAAGCTTTTGGAGAACAAACCGGGTAATCTTCGTTGTTTTGTTAGCTGGCTGCTTCAAGCACACACTGCAGTCCGGTCACTCGTCTTCAGTGTCACGGTGAAAAATGCATTTAATGTGGCTGTTGCCCGTTTCTTTTTGCAAGAATACCCGACTGCCACTCAGTGGGGGTGATTTAATTCTCATGCATGTTCTTGACCCTGTTGGTGTCCAGCAAGGGTGATGTGGGTCAACTTCTTGCTGAACAGACCTGTCACAGAAAACCTAGGAAAAAGAGAGCTTCCTGAAACGCTTCCATCTGGAGTATTGCAACAGCCCGTGTTTGTTTAGGCATACGAGATGGTATCAGTCATTGCTGCAAGGTTCATAAAATCCATCTCAGCCTCTCAAACTAGCTAGACGTCTACCTTCCGCCTGTAGCTCTTTAGAAGCTATTCTGTGCTTGACTGGAGTTCAAAAAAATCTTCTGTAAAGCAAGGGCCCCAGTGAGATGTTGGAAACATTAATAATACTGATGATACTGATAATAAAATGTCTTCCATTTACCAATGTGTTCAAAGGGAAATTATTTTCTTTCTGTAGAGATAAACATGCTGCAAACATACAGACATGTTTTAGTCTTTAGGGAAATAGAAATAGATAGAGGAGCTTAAAGAAAGCTAGCAAATTTGTCATCAAAATTTACCAGCCCCGGGTGTAAAGTCTACTCATTCAATAGAAATAGCCCATGAATAGTAACAAAGAGATTGTGTTTTTACACTTTCAACAACAGAAAGGTGGCTGAGATGCACAGAATTTCACATTGCTCTTTGGAAAAGCAAACAACATTTGCCAAACAATCAAAGTTATTACCTCCCAAAGTGTCCGGAGGATGAAAATCTATTTACCCTATCTGCCTGCTTGTCAGTGGAAGAGCTGATGCATCGGGGGAGGGGATGTGTGGGTATATGCTCTACAGCCAACCTGTTACTTCCTTGCCTGTTTATTTTCATTAACGTTGAGTTGGCGGGTGTGGGACAAGGGATGGGATTATCTGCCAGCACACAGCTGTATGTGCATGGGGTGCACTGTATAGCCTTATGTTTCTGTTTGTCATTGACTTTGCTCTTTCTTTGTCTTCTTCTTGCTGGAATCTCTCTCTAGGAGTTTCATGGGGTAATATGTTATTCCTGTCTCTTGCTGCACTGTTATGCCTGTCAAACGTGTGTACACACACTTGCCACTGTGGAAACAAACCATGTTACACCCATTGCATTGACTCCTTTGTCCCTCTATTGCTCATTATTCAGTGAAATGTATTTTCCCTTAACAGTCCTCATTCATCCTAATTTTCTTTAAGCAGAGGATAGGAGCAGACTAGAAAGCCAAGTAGAACAGAGAGTCTTGACCAGAGAGCCAGAAACTATAAGCAGATACATTCGTACCAAAAAGATTTGAGGGGATGACTTAGTGGGTAAGTTGTTAAAGTGTGAGTTGCAATTCATGAAAATCTTAATAACTCAGTTTAAAGAAGCAGTTTTATCCCTCATTCTGAGGACTTGCCCATCTATATTAACAGTGCTGGAAGGTTCAAGAATAATTTTGTGCAGTCTGGGTAATGAGACCCAGCTGGGATTCAGGCTGTCAGCCTCTGAGGCTGGAGAAAGTCTTTGACATGAAAACAGAGTGAAGAGGGATTGTTGAGAGATTGGCAGGGCAATTTGTAAAGGAGGAGGTAGCAGAAGTTGCATTTCCCTACCTGCAAGGAGGTGGCCGTTTTGCTGTCGGTGCAGTAGAGTGCAGCTTTGCTTTGGGGATGGAGGGGGAGGCAGAGCTGCATCATCTCATCTGCAGCTCTGAGCAGAGCGGGAGCTGGGATGGGCTTCTCCACAGCAGATAACCCAGAGATGCAATGAAAAGGACGGAAGGAATGGTCTTTGATGTGGTACAGGAAATTGGGTACTTGTTTCTTTCTTCTGTCTAGGAAACCAGATCATTTAGATGCTGGGAAAGGGTGGCTTTGTGCTTGGGCAGAGTTGCATGGCCTCATTTGCTCTTTGATGGAGGAATTCACTTGCTGCATTGGGGATTTCAGGCAATTGCAGAAGGTGGCGACTCCACCCTACTCAATATTTGATGACATGACTCTAAGAACCCAATGTTACATGAAATCAGAGCTACTGGCAGGAGCAACAGAAACAAGAAGCTTCCATTTTAAAGAACTATTAATTTTTTAAAGGACCTTTCATTTATTGAAGGAAAAAAAAACCATGCAAAGCTCTTTTAAAACATTTTTAATGTTTTAAATAAATGAGCAACAAACTGCCCCACAAAAACACAACTGGCCTAATCCTATTTCAAACAGAATAGACCTAATGCATTTTTTTTTCATTATAGCAGTGATTTTTTTTGTTTGGTTTGGGTTTTGTTTTTCAGTTTTTTTTTAAAGCCACCGGGCTTCTGTTTGGTGTCTGTCTTTATCCTGTTTGCTCTTCTGTACCTCTTCTGAATTTTGTGGGTGTTATTCTGCAGTCACCTAAGATCTTATCCTTCCACGGCAATTTATTTTTGTTGTGAAAAACATTCTGGACAAATGTGTGCTTGTATAAACCTTTTGACTGAATCCTAGTTCCACCTGGACTTTTTTTTTTGGGGTTGTTGGACATCTGGCTTTGTATTAGAATGTAAAAAACCAATATTGGCAGAGGGTGTTCTTAAAAACACTGAAAACAACCCTTAAGGTTTTATTTGACAGGCTGAAATCGTTGCAGAAGATCCATTTGATTAAAATGCAGTTGGCATCACTCTAATTCAGAGTACCAGTCCATTGAAAAGCTTTCTGCTGTGGAAGGAGCTTTACTCTGACGAGAAATAAGGGTGATTTTTTCAGGATTTTCTATATGACTGAGATGATAAATCCTATTAACATTTAATTGTCTCACGCTCTTTATTTGCTTAGGTGCCTGAAAAGAAAATAAATAAATAAATCGACTCTTCTTAGTGTCATTTGTTCAGGCAGAAGGAGTTTTGTAGGACTGGAGCTGTCTGCCCTTCACCTCCAAACTCTCAGTGCAGTCATCCGCACGCCTCTCCATGCGAGGGAAAAACAGCTTTTCCCCTCAGAGACCCAGGGGGAAGGATTTGTTCTGCCCCACCTATCCGCTAGTCCCCAGTAGGTCTGTTTCACCTTCCTAGAAATATGGAGTCCACAGAGGTGGTTGCTTCAGGCTTGGAGCCAGCCCCGGAGCCAAGAAGTGTCTCTGGTCTCATCTGGAACTGCCTTTCCAGGAAGCCTTAATTAGTAGAGTTGTTACGTAGCACAAATGTATGGCAGCGTAGTAAATAGGTGTTTAGGACTCCAGGAATCAGGAGCACTGGATTATCCCATGCAGAAATATTCTGTGGTCTTGCTGAACCCAGGTGAGGGCGGTTGAGGTGTGTTCGTTTGGTTGCTACCTGCCAGTGGCTGTGCTGCTAAGCTGGGTTCTGCCCATTAGTCTGCAAACCAGAAACCTGGCCACAGATGATCGAGAATTTAATATAGTTCTGGACCAAGGTATCCCACCTCTTTCTTTTTTTCTCCTACTGCCCCAATCACATGTCCCTTAACCCTCTCACCTTACCCCTTCTCTCACCTCTACATTCCTATGCTCCCACCTCTTCAACCTCTCTGCCCTTGCTTCCTCACCCAGCTAAACCCCAGCTGGCTGGGCAACATGGAGCAACCCGAGCGATTTGCTTGCTGTCACCTTGGCTGCCCCTGTTGTTTTCTCCACCCTGTCTCCTCTGGAAGGGTGAGCAAATCCTGTCACTCCCTGCCCTTGTAAAAGGTTCACGCCTCAGCTTCCTTGTAGCCCCTTCAGGCACTGGAAGGTGCTATAAGGTCTCCCCGGAGCCTCCTCTTCTCCAGGCTGAACACCCCCAACTCTCCCAGCCTGTCCCCATGGCAGAGGGGCTCCAGCCCTCGGGGCATCTCTGTGGCCTCCAGTGGACTCGCTTCAACAGGTCCATGGCCTTTTAATGCTGGGTTCCCCAGAGCTGAACACACTGGGATACAACCCACAACCCTCCGAAAATTCCTTTTGTCTCACTGTTTATTGCATTTCAGGACAACTGCAGTGCCTGGTAGTTGGAGAAAGACCAGAGATGAGGCAGGAATGTGTGTTTCTAGGTTGCAGATTCCAGTCCAGTGTAGTATGGACTAGTACAGTATTAGTACTGAGTTATTAGTCTTTTAGGAGTGGATAGATTCCAAAAAAGACACGTTCCAGGGCTGAGCAACATCAGCCAGCCACAAAACTGGGAGGATTCCTCCACTCTCAGTGCTTATCCCTTAGCACAGTGCATAGGACTGGCTGCATCCGGGGGCGGGGAGAAGCTTTGCAGTCCACTACCTGGACATGTCTCTTGGTCTCTCTGGTTACTTGTCCCTCTGTTGCTTTCCTGTTGGAGAGGAGAAACATTTAGCAAACTGGAAGAACATAGAATAGGTATATCAGCATCTGTCCAACATGTTACTCATTCACACCTGTGTTACTTCAATACAGTCACAGACCCAAACCTATAGTCATGAATAAACCTCTGTTAGAAATTTTCATCCCATTTTTCACTTCATACAAAATGAAGGGGAATGTCATTGTTTTGCTGTTGGGTTGAAAGAAGATGTAACTGTGTCTTGGAGGGGGGAAAAATAATTATTTTTCATTTATTTTGGAAGTGCATGAGGAAAGGAACTCTGTCCTTCCCCTAAAAACCTGTTAATGCTAACAAGAGGAATGGTCTCAAGACTTGCACTCAGTTTTAACAAAAACTAAACCCAAATGTGACTTACAGCACCTGCATGCGTAAGTGAGAGGTTGCCCTAGCACTGTTCCAGGCATGTAATATGCCATCATATTACATGTTCCTGCATGGGTTTGGTAGCATGTCTTCCAAGAGAGACTCAAGGATGAAGGCATAGAGCAGCTCTGGTCCCCAGGAGAGCTCTGTCCCTCACCGTGGAGGCTCCAGGTCACTGTGTAGACACAACATCCCTGCCAGAGAAGTGCAAGAAGCACACAAAGAAACATCCTCCCATCTCACCCAGGTGCCGAGGAGAGCCAAGTGTGATCTTTCTCGCTTCTCCAGCCTGGGCTGGATGAATGTACTCAGCCTCCTTTCCCACTGGCTGCAGCCCAGGTGTGCTGCTGCCCCGGCTTTGACCGTTGCCTGGGTGGGGACTTGGGGCAGGAAGGTCACCGGTTCCTGGGTGATGCTCGGTGAGTAGCTGGGAAGTGGGCGAAGACTGGAGAGCACGTCTGGCTGAATACAGCAAGGACCATGTCCTGGCCACAGCCTTCCTCCTGTGTGGTGATTAGCACGTCTCACGTGGGCGTTCATCTGCAGTCGTCCCCAGTAGGTCTGCATCCGTGGTGGGGATGGCACTGAGAGCCTGAGAGAAAGCCCCAGAGCAATTCCACAGCTCAAACCACATTGGGTACCTGTAGATATTCTAGTTAGAGACCTGAGGACCAAAGTATTCCCTCTGTTGTTCTTGTGCCTTTTATCCATTGCAGAGGAACCAAAGGCAAGGACATCAACACAATCAAGTCACTGCGAGTTCTGCGGGTCCTAAGGCCGCTGAAGACCATTAAACGGCTGCCAAAATTAAAGGTTAGAGAATAACCACAAATCTTTCCTTACCTGGGGGGTTGCAGCCAGTCTGAGTGAAAGCTGACGGAGTAAGCTTTGTCCAAGTTATTTCTGTTCCTTCTATTTTGTTGCAATTAATCTCTCAGCCAGATTCATAAAAATAGCCATGCAGATGTTTAGCAAATGTCAAACACTTGTTTCTTTCGCAAACATTGTGGGCAATATTACGGATTATTATGAATCCACATTAGAATCAAACTTAAAAAAAAAAAAAGAAGAAAAGAAAAAAAGGCAAATAAATTAAATTACAGTCCATACGTGTGATGCTTTTAGCAATGATATAGGAGGAAATGGGTTTTGGAGTGTTTGACTTTCCCTAGAGAACTTAACTGAATATTACAAATTTTCCACAGTCTGTCTAAAGAGGAATGTCATTGCTGTGTGAGGACTTTTAATCTGTTCACCTTTTCTATTAAAGAATATATAGTTCAGGGCTTTATAGCAGTACCCTTTCATCTCTAGAATAGTAAGTTACAAAGTAAAATAAACGGAATGGCCTGTGGTTACTTATTCAACACAATTTCATGAACGCTTTGAGCAATAGCCCCTGGAAGCAGAGAATGAGCCGAGTTACAAAATTTAATCATTTCTGAGTTTTGGGAACTCTTGAATACCTATTGTAGAATGTCTTCACGTGGCATCGTTGCTTGCAGGCTCTATTCTGTGAGAGATGGGGAAAAAGGATGGGTGCTTTTGCAGTGGTGAAACTATGTCTGACAATTCCTCTTTTCACACAGCGGCACGTAAAAATCAGGGTTGGCTGTTATGTAGACTTGCTTTTGCCCTTACCCACAATTCATGCTTAACTAATTTTGATTTTATACATTTTTCTGCATACTAAATTTACCTCAAAAGATAAGGAAGAGCAATGTTGAACAATATAGAAAATGGTCTTTATTTGTTTAGAAATTTTTTCAGCTCAATTCATAAAACAGTCAACCACAGCTCAGTCCTACAGCGGGACACCAAAGACTTGCGTTTTATTGAATCTCTTCCTTATTCTCAAGCCATTTCACAGAGTAATTTTACCACTTCTAAAGAAATACTCAGAAATCTTCATAAGCAGCAGAAGTCATATTCACATGGTTTGTCTTCAGAATTTTCACTATTTTTTTTCCTGATGTAGTCTTTTATGCAACAATCAGCAAGATTAGTGAGGTGATTAGAGATATTTCCAGAGTTTTAATTCAGGATTTCTGGGCTGCATCAGGAGTGTAATTTTGTGAATTATTCACTTCCATTCAGAGAAACAGGAGCAGTATTGTACAAACCCTGCGCTTGGGCAGTAAGACTGCTCAATTTCTATTATTATGACAAACTTCAGACTAAAATTAAACTGCAAATTACTTGTAACATTGAATCAGTGACTAATAACCAAATAATCAACATATTTGAGAAGTTCTTTGCAGGGAGTTCAAAAGTGACATATGCTGACTAGATTAGTCACGCTTAATTTTGATAGACAGTTCATTAGAAAAATATTCAAAGCATTTGGTTGTTTTGTATCTTGGTATATTTTCTATATTATTCAAACAGTTCAAATAATGGTCAATGAGTAACATATTTGATGAGTTTTTCTCTATCCACTGGGAATAAATTAAGCACAAGTACTTATTTCATTTCATAATTGGCTGTGGAAATATTAGCGTAGAACTAATATTTATCTTGATGAGCTGCAATTGTCTTCAGAAATTTTATGGGCAGCACCAGAAAGGTCAGCGGCACAGTCCAACTTGCCAAGAAAGCAGGAGATGTAGGAGTGTTGTATCTCACAGCTGGAGTACGACTCTTGGTCAAACGCTTGGTGTACAAGTCCGTCAAGCCATGCGTGGGTTGTGGTGTGGGTAATTACCCCCAAGTAATTGGAGGGGGACTTTTTACAAGGGCCTGTAGTGACAGGACAAGGGGTAATGGGGTGAAATTGGAAGTGGGGCGATTTAGATTGG